CGTGGGTTAATGCCGTGATGGATTAATTCCACTTAACTCTACAAAGCGGTGTGCCTAAACCCCTTTCGTAAGCCCGAGAGTATTTAAAGTGACCGACTGCCAAATGCAGCAAAGCGCTTGCTCCATGCCGAGCAAGCGCTTTTTCAGCAAATTGTCATCGCAAAACTCTGGTAAGGGGCGTTTTCGCCGTCAGGTGGACGCAAACGACTGCAACGGTAGCACTCCTAGTACCGAAAAGAAAATTTTTAGACCACGTACGACGTAAAACAAAAGACTGCGATACATAATTTGCACACAGTGCTGAGATAGATGGAGCCAATCTACTTTAAAAGGGTGGACTTAACATTCTTATTGGATCGAGCGAGATTTGTCTCTACATCTTCGGCTTAGAAGTGGGGAAAGGTGTTTATTAGGTTCAGTCTCGATCTCGCTCTCTAAGCATAAGCATAAAGAATATTAAAATCCAAAAATACCGATAGATATATTTCGGATATCTGAAGTATTAAAGAAATTCTCCATATTCAAAACTTTATTCCACTAAATCATAAGAACAATAAAATATTCAGTTCACTTTCCAACCGGACCAGTGCGTAAACACATAAAAGTATTACATTGTAAGCGATTAAATCTTGTGTATATATGGCTGAATATATTTTTGGTGACTAAGTCTTCTTATTTAACAATTAGGAGTACATCGTACACAAGTGGTATGATTATCTTCGACTTGCAAAACTTGCACGAGTCTACTTTATAGAAAGAAAAAAGTCATCCATTACTGTTTTTGTTATTTTATTCTTCGTTCTTCAATTTCTTGATAAGTCATAATAAATATATTATTTTAATAAAATTTGGCATTTTTGTATTTCAGTTTTTGCTTTCATATACAGAACGCTATTAATTCATTTATTATTATTATTATTATTATTTTTTTTTTATATCTTTTTAATCGAAAACTTGTTTTCATTTTTTAATTACTAACCATAAAAAGTATCTATATAACGTATATCTATATACGTATGTACGTTTATGCAGGGGTATTTATGTATGTATGAATATTAAAAATGCATTAAAAAAATCCGCATAAAAAAATATCGAATTTCTTGAAGCTCAAAAACCCCAAATTATGTACGTGTACATATAAATATATATATATATATATATATATATATATATATATATGGAAGTTTGTATGTGTTCATATTAATTATATCAAGAAACCTTTCTTTCTAGTTTTGGTTTTCAATTTCTCTTTATTAGCTGAATGTGTTTTTTTTTTGCCTTCTTCTTTTTTTACTTTTGCACTTTTTGTCTTGCTTTATATTTAATATTGGCACCTGTTGACAGTTTTTCGACACAGCCTGTTTTTTTTATTTTATTTTTTATTTCTTTTTTCGATGGTCAGAGAGACGCTGAATAAGTATTTTAACACTTGACTTTATTTTCGGGATACATAGTGAACGACACACAATATTTCATATAATCACAATATTGATGTGTATTCTGTGCTCGTTCTCCAATTACAAAAGCAATGCAAAATTGTGCAAAATATAAAGGGAAAAAAAAACTCGGTTTGAATAAAGATTTATTTATAATGATTTATACAAATAATGGAATTTTTTGCTTTTTTTTGTTTTTTTTTTAATGCAATTTTTTGCTAAACTAAAGTTGTTGTTTTACAATATTTTAATTTTGGTTTTGAAATTGTGTTAAGGCATTTAAACTTTTAAAGGTCAGGTTTTTTTTCTTTTGACCGATCTGAAAATACCTTAATATTTGTGTCAATTTAAATTTAAGTCAAATTTGTTTAAAAATAAGTTCATTCATTTGATTACAATTTGTTGAAAAATTTCGAAACAAAAAAAAACAAAGAAAACTCGCCTTCACTGTAAATCGAATCTTGGGTACCCTCCGTTTAAGAAAAAGTTTTTTTTGCTTTTTTTTCGTTTAGAGTAAAAGAGTTTGTTGAAGGAGGGTGGGAGTGGAGGGGGAGGGGGGGGGGCGCACTTCATTCCAATGGTGCTAATTCACTATGTCTTTTTTATACTCGTTTAGGCGGCCAGAAAAGATTGTGGGCCGAGAAAGAGATAGGAAGAAGGCGCAACCTTAATGACTTTTGCCTTAACTGGAAAGCCTAGTTGAAATCATTCTTCCGAACAAGAATCAACATTTTAGAGACCTGAACACAGTAAGTTAGCAATAAAAACATATATTAAAATGGTTATTTCTCAGTCAACGGACTTTTATGTGGACAACTTATTCCCCTTTTATGTTTGATACTTTAAGTTAAGCTAAAAGCGCTTGAGTTAAATTTCATTCCTTTATCTCAAGTTGAAAGGGTTTGACGGTATGAAGAATAAACGATTACCGTCATACCTAAGTCGAGCAGAAAACTTTAGCTGTTACATATGTTATATGTGTATATGTGCACATTTGCAAATCACCAACGATTAGATCTAATTTATTGTCAGCGTAATTAGCAAGCAAACTTCATAGTCTCCTCGCGCCTATAAGATGCAAAAGTGAAAGGAATGAAGAAAGCAACACAGAGGCCGTGGGATATGACAGAGCTGTGGCGACACTTTCCAGCGTGTTTCCTGCATTTTATCTCGAATGTGTAGCTATACATTTTTACCCATGCATTTTAACGTACATGTTGGGTTGCAATTTTTCTTATTTTGCCTTTCGAAGGACTTCTACTAACTTGGGCTGGAGTCTCTTTTGCCTCGCAGAAGAAAACTTTGCGCGATTTTTTGCTTTTAAATTGCGAACAATTGCTAACGTAATGACAATATTAATGCACCTCCCGTACAGTGTGTGGTGGGTACAAAACTAACATGTCAAATATTATATTAATAATAGATTTCACTTGAAAATACAGCTGTTTTCTTTTTCAATGTAACATATTGAAATACAAATAAAGTTAAATATATTTTCTCGATTAACAAACAGCAAACAGATGTCCAAGATTTTATTTTTTTTTTTTTTTTTTCACCTAAATTCAAAGTGAAGTAGTCTCTTTCAAATATATTGTTATTATCAAACAAGAAAAAAAAAAACATTTGAATTTCCAAGTCTAGTTGTTTTTCGTTTATATATATATATATATACATATATATATATATATGTATTGCATATTTTTATTATCGATTTTTTTTTTGCTTTTGTTTTTTAAAAAAACAAATAATTTTATTTCCAATTAGTGTTCGGGGTTTTTTTTTCTGTTTTGCTGTTTTAAAAATGCGCGATCACTCGTATGGGCTTTTTTTTTCTGTTTTCTTAGCTAACGACAGATGTTTTAATTCTTCTTAATAGACATAAATGTATGTTTTTTGTATACTTTGTATATATCGCATTCGTAAATATGCGTGCATTTAAATAAATAGACAAATAATTTTTGTACATTTTTTTCCCCTCTAAAGATACGAAAGGAAATATATGCCAATAACATACATATTATAGAGGTTTAAATCACTTGTTGGCTAAGCTAAATTTATTTCATGTTTCTCTTTAAATAACAAGATGCAAGTATGTAGCTAACAAAGTATGTAGCAAGTCGTAACGAAATATGGTAAAATATCTATGAGAAATTTATCAATGAAGGATATCTTAATTTATTTCATATTCTATTTGTTACTAAAGACCTGACTTTCTTGACTGATCGAGAGGTGGGAGAATTCCAGGCGAGGTGTATTCTTCAGCATATAAGTGAACATTTGAATATAGTTCGCAGGCAGTTAGAGTACAGAAATTTCTTTTTTGCTAAATCAATGCGTATCAAATTAGTAATGTGCACGTATATGTCCGAGTGGTTGTTTTGCAGCATGAAATTTCGAATCTCAGTCAAACATTTAGCTATAGTAAGTATACACTACGTTTAAGGTGCATTTTAAAGGCTATATTAAGCTTGTGAGTAACTCTACGACACGCAGACGAACTTGTTCAATTTTATTACGGCCATTGATTCAGCATTAATTTCTGAAAATAATTATATTCGTCAGTTCGTCTGTCCATCTGTCCCCCTGATGTTTCATTCCATTCAACCTAAATTTCGCAATTTTTGAGATCTTTTGATGAAATTGCTTCATCGACCTCTTTTGGCCTAAGGACGAACGCTAGTGACAAACGGTTAAGATCACTTTTATAAAAGCCTTAATTTGAAAAGCCGTTATATAAGTAAAGATGTTAAACGAAGCAACGCAGGGTATTTAATAGTGACCTTTATAATGTCTTCACGTGGATCATGAAAACAATCTCATAAAGCAATCATTACATGCATGCGATACAATTGTCGTAAGCACAGTGTAGTGAATTGCAATGCCTTACACCATGGGTCTCCTTTTTAATGCACCCACGCGGATGTCCATCTGGTGAAGGGTTTCTGGTCACCTAAACTTGGCATTTTTATGCGTACTGGGAGTGCACAGATCAAACTATGAAATGTAAGCAGTCTGATGATTGTGTTAACCCTCATAATAGTTCAAGGACAAGAGTAAAAAACATTTTCCTGGTTTATCATAATATATTTGATATGAAAGTAATTCATTCCATCCAAAAAGTAAGGATAAATTTATGGATCCTTTTCAAAAAGCGCATTGTTCTACTCTTGACGTCATATATAGTACAATTTATATTAACCTAAGGTGAATAGAATGCACTTAAAAATGCTTGACGCTTCTTAACTAAACGAAAGAATAGAAAAAAAGCTTATTGCAAAGTCTAAGTTGTCAATTTACCGACGGTAATTAAACCTTTCCCTCTCTCTCTCTCTCTCTCACTCTCTCTCTCTTTCTCGCTTTAACGGAAATTTGTCTTAATAACCGGAAATATTTATAATCTTATAATAGTGAAGCATTTTAATTCGATTTAATTGAAGTATGACCTTTTCAGCAAAGTATTTAAAATTAATTCGAAATCATTGAAAAATTCTACACAAGTAGTGCGTATATAAAGTAAAAAAAAAAAAAAAAAAAGCGAAGAAGAAAATAATTAAACTTACTCACCTTTCATAATAATTGCTGATAATTCGGAAGCGTTTAATTGCATGTAGAGATTTTCCGTTGAAGCGTTGGTCGCTTTTAAATCTGCCATGATGTGCGAGGTTGATATATTGATAAAAAAAACAAATTCCAATTTTCAAAAGATTGCAAATGATAATAATCCGAAAAGGAAATTGCGATTGATGGCGCACCGTTCGGTCAACAGGTAATCCAAGTGGCGGTAAAATAAGCGAGTAATCCAAGTAATGAATGGGTACACTTTTCACTTTTAAAATAATTTTTGTTTCCCTTTTTTTATTTTATTTAATATAAAATCTTTATTTACTATTTATTTAAAGTAAAAATATTATTATAAATTTTTAATATTCCTTTTCAATGTAATATTTTTAATAATTTGTAATCATACACTTTTGCTTAGTTTATTTTTATTTATTTATTTATTTATTTTTTTTTATTTTTCTTTTCCTTTTCCTTTTTTAATTCTATTTGTATATTGTATTTATATGATATAATTTCTTTTGAATATATATATATATATATATATATTTTTTTTTGCATTAATTTAATTGATTGATCACACCCGTTTTAACATATCCGAAATATTTTCTTATTATTGTTTATTTTTTTATTTAATTGTTTGGTATTCCTCAACAATAATTGGGTGAGAGAAAACATGTGTGCTTTCAGTGAATGGTATTTTTAATAAACATTTATATACGCGCTATACACACCCGTCAGCATGGTAGTCGTTAACTGACTGAGACTGAAGATACTTAACCCGCGCGTACATAGAGCAAATGCTGTTAAAGGCCTCAAACGGGCCGGCTTACCTAACAAACCGCACACTCATGCAAACCGATAACAAGAATATCAACCAGCAGCTATATTACTAAATACATTCGGCCAACAAGCGGAGATATTAACACAATAACGTTTAGATATACACACACAAATACAATTGCATATAGATACGCATAGGTTTCAGGTTCTATATATATGTATATATAAGCTGAATGGACAGACATTTCGAACCAACTCACTTATTAAGAACACATTGTGCTCATAACTGTGTAAACAAGTCAACAATTGTTAATACTTCAAACATGTTTGATGCATTGAATGGGGATTGGTTTGGCATGAATGACTCAAGCAAAATGTACGTATCTAAGATTTTTCGTCGTTTAAACGTTAATATTGACGTTGTTGGCGAGATGAGTTAATTGGCGCCTTACATAGAAAGCATAATAAACATTTTTTTTTGCTTTAGCTGCTTTTACTTTTTTTCTTTATATTTTTTTTTTTGTTTTTCTTCGTACTTGTTTAAACGTTTCATATTGGTTTCGGTACATGTCAATGCTTCATCGCTCTCATTGCTTGGCGACATGCAAGTTGGCTGAATTGGTTTGAGTTGATTGCAATGAGATTTTAGGTTTTGTATAGTTGTAGGTTGTATATATGCATATATACATATATATATATATATGCAAATGTAAATATATATATATATACATGTGTGTATACATTATGTATATATATATATATAAATACATATACATATATATAAGTATATATACATGACTATATATATATATATATACATATATATATATATATATGTGTTTGTGTGCACGTGTGTTTGAGGGTAAAAGCAATCACACCTCCTTTTTTATGAAATTTTTATGAATGAAAATCGTTTTATTGTTTGTTTATTAGGAAGTGCTTGGGTTGTTGTACGGTTAGTGTTGGTATGTTTTTATGTAAGGTTTCATTATTACACCATATGTTAAACACTTACAAGTATTTAAACGAAACAAGACCACTAGGAGGTCTTAGCAATCAATCCTACAATTACGAATTATTTGAATTTTACATTGTCTGTGGATATCTTGCGCTCAGACCCACACATGTAAACGTTTACGATTCCTATTATTAAATTTCTTTTCATTAATACTAATAATATATAAATTGATTTCTATTCTTAATATTTTCACAAACAACCTTAACTAAGTAAATTAGTGTTTGTTGTTCATCAGCAGCTACATACTCCTACATGCTTTGTTAAAGTTAAACTGTCTGTCAATACTAGTTGATGTCTGGAGGATATAAGGAAACAAATTAACGTAATCGAATATAAATCTAACATGGTTGAGTCCCTATTAAACAAAGTAATACTAGTAAATATCATTGTGTTAAATTCGGAATACAGTGAATGCATTTGCCTCGCTCATCATGCAACAACTGTGAAAATATAATTTGAGTGTATGTTAGATGTTGGATGTGTAGTCGAACTTATAAATTACATTACATTGCTTGAGTAAAAAGCATATAAAAAAAAAACTATTTTGCATGATGTACGATGCAAATGCATTTTTATATTGTGTTCAGCATCTCACTAATTTTACTGCTTAAGCGAAAGTTACTTGACGTTTCTCAAGAGGTCAACATGATTCGATATAATCCTGATGAGCAGAGAAATATCTCTTAACACTAAATTGCGTATGATCAAGCGCCACTCATTTGCCGAAATTCATATCATTGATGACATTGTGGAGAAAATTGTAATGTCTCCAGGCAACAAAAGCCAACATGACTAGAACATATATTAGAATGTGCCTACACTTTCGAAAAATTCAAGCGCACAGTGTGAAGCATATCCAAAAAAGTAATAAGCATTGTGTGAGTATTAGAACGCACTGGGGTGCACAATAATAACCGTAAGTTTTCAGCAAAGCATTATGTAATTGAAATGATAAAAGAATTCGACTCTTAACGCTATTAGATATTTGTGGAGTTTCGTCATATACTTACTGTTCAGTTACAATGCCATAATAGCTAAAAGATTCTTAATAGCAAATTTTGACGTTAAACATTAGGACTACCTTTCATAAGTTAAGAAAATCAAAATAAGGATAACCGAGAAGATCACAATGCCTGCATAGATAAACAAGCGAAAAGAAGGAGAAAAAGCCCAAATAGAGCTCTGATGGAAGTAGCAATGAAGTCTAGAAAGATATCAAGAAAGCCTAAAGTTATCTATCAAATCCGTATTCCATTGATATAGAGTCTCGTTGAAAATATGCATCTCAGATATCAATTCAAAATTACTAATTAGGTTAACACACAAGCTAATCAACACTGACTAATATCTCATATGAAAATTGCGTCTACATACACTCTGCTCAAAAAATTGTCATATGTTTGTGATTGTTTTTATGCCCACCACCATGGAAGGTCATAAGTATATTCATAATCTCAAAATGTTTGCAATGCTCAGAAAGACGCTTTATATAAATTCTTGATTATGATTGGCATGCCTGTCTGTCAATTTATGTGATATTTATGGCAAACATTCCGCCGGTCGAAAAAACCAAGGTATCAGCTTCAAATTTGGCACAAACGTTGCAAGTGTCTGCGCTATATTAATATTGGGCACAATCTGCCAAAATACACGCCTACAGCACTATAAAAACTGAAGGCAACTCTGTTTCCTGTGGTTTTTGTTCGCTACACCATAGACAAAACGATAATAATTTCCTTCTAACTTTCATGAGCGATCTTACAGCCATTGCCGCTTTTTATTTGTAAATTTCTCTCTAAGACATAGGTAGTGGGTGTAAGAGAAACCATCCTCACTTTGTCTTTCTACAAATCAGATCTTTACTCGAATATTTTCATATTCTTTAAATGTTGTTATGCTACATTATAAAATAAAGATATATATCTCATAATTTTACGCCCACAAGGACTTGGGATAGGTCCGCCCTTTGCTGTACTGATCGATTCAGAATCGCTTTCTGATTTGATTCAAGTGTCTGTGTCCTTCCAGTTTTCTTGTATTCAGCCTATAGGCCACAAGTTATGAGATATTTTAATGAAATTTGTTAGATTGACGTGTTCTGACCTAAGAACGAACGCTATTGAAAATGATTGGGACCAAATTACTTTTTCGTCCACTTTTCAAATAGCCTCATATTATGAAAAGTGATTTTATAAATATTTGTGGGATGATGTGTCTTTTTACCTTGGTTTTGTTTTATAAACGCTTGGTGAAGTATTTACTCATCCATAGTAGTATTTATGATTAATTACAATAGTAGAATTCACCTGAACCAACGAACCTGGCTTTTAATTTGTCTTGTATCTAATCCTGCCTATGCCTTTCCTAACCTGTGCTCGTATATTTATTATACGGAATACAAATATTCTCTTATCTGCTAAAGACTCCGCATATCAATGATTGGCATGGCTAGCAAAATTGCGAAATGCATATCTGTCCATTGACGCGATCATTCTATCTTTGAGAACATTTTTAGACCATCGAAATTCGTATTAAACCTTTTTATTCGTCACCTTTAGGTGGAAGTACAAAATCAATGGTATTACACCCGGCTTATGTGTAATTAAACAAACTTTTCAGAAATATAGATGCAATAGATAAGAGCGTTGACGTCACAATTGCTTCGTTACCGGAGCTTGTTAAGTATAGCAAGCTAAGTATTGGTTTCGTGTGGACCTAAACTACACTCTTTGAATATAATAATGGTTTGCATAAGAAAATACAGTTGTATACGCACAGCAGTAAATTTCTTTACAGTATGAGAGTAAAGATGACTTTTTTAATTTCATTAAAATAAAGCGAAAACGCAACTAAAATAGAGAGCTGGCGGATACCCAAAAAAAACAAACCCACAGCTGATTTTTTTTGTGCTCTTCTCATATTGAAACGTCGCTTAATATTTCGAATCTTTATAACCTGCGCATCTGCGAATGCAAGTGAGATAAAATTCTTGAAGTTCGCACTTTTAGGAATAAAGTAATTTAGATCAAAATATTTTCTAACTTTTCATATTCTGCAACAAGAAAAAAAATAAATAAAAAAACGAATGTAAAAATTGCATTTGTTTAGAGCAAAAAAAAAAAAAAAAAAACTAAAAACAACAACAACAACAACAGCAACAACAAATGAAAAACGAAAACCTTTTGAAGAAGACCCACAACCATCGCACACAAATTATGCTGCAACAATTGTATGCAGCAGTTCAATGCATTGCCTTAGACGGCGGCCCTTGGAGTGTAAAGCGGCAATAGTTCGTATATAGTAGAGAACATAGTTGTTGTTTTTTTTTTTTATTTTTTTTTTATTTTTGTTTTTTTTTTCGTAATCATTGGCTGAATGCAGATGATGGCAATAAAGATGATGACGACCATGATGATAACGATGCTTTTGCTTTAGCTCATGCTGATTGTTGATTCTTTTGTAAGAGAAATACCGCCACATCGCACCGTTCTAATGCAGAAGCAACACAATGCTAAACCGCATTCCTCGT